TCCCACGTCTTGTTTAAATTGGAGTTGGTGGCCTTATCCTGTTAGTGCGAGTCTCTGCATCACCAAGCAGTGTATTAGGATAATGCGCCTTTAATCTCTCATAAACGTTTCGTTAATAATTGCCTCATTTTCTCCCCCTGATTAATTCTCGGTGTTGTCGTTTGTAATTTTTTCTGAACTCTTCTGCAGAACCGGGAGAGCCTTCTAGACATACTTTCCATGTGGCCGAAGCGTCTGCCCCTGGCGCCCCCTTCCCCAGCCGGCCTCTGTCCTGTCGAGCCTTGGGCCCGCTTGTGGCCTGTCACGGAGTGAACCGGAAATTCATTTTCCTCTTCTTCCATGTGGGCTTTCTGTGTTCTGGGACTTAGTTCTCTTTTGCGGGGGGCAAATCCTCCAGTTGGGCTCAAAGAAAGAGTCAGTATGTAGTCTTGAGCTCAAACCTCCCTAACAATTGAATGGCTGTAGAATTCCAGGCTGGATGTCAGTTTTCATTCGAATTTGGAGGTGCCGCTCCTCTGATTGCTAACCTGCAGAGTTGCTGAGAGAAGCCCGTGCTTCCTGGCCCTTTGTATGTAATGCTCTCCCCTCTGGAGGGCACTATTCTCCCACCTGGAATCTGGGCTCACGGCTGTGGGCCCTGGGCAGCTGTGTTGGACACAGGGTTGCTAGGTGAGCAGGGTGTGCTGTAAGTGTGGACTTCAGATAAATCACAAATATTGTTGGCAATGTTTGGGACACACACTAAAAGATTACTTGCTTTTTACCAGAAATTCAAGTTTAACTAGGTTTCCATTTTTTTGTTGTTGTTGTTCTTGTATGTTTTTATTAAGTTTGACAACCTTAGAAGTTGGATTTTTCAACCCAGAGACTTGGGTTTTTCAGTTTGAGGAAATTTTCACATATTATTTCTTTTCCTCTAAATTACAGTATTAGTTTAAGCTTAAGAAGATAAGATATTTTAATAATCACCCCTGGCTTTGTCTTCCCATCTTGATTCCCCCAGAAGGAACTCTAGTGGTTTCATCTAGCCTTGGCACTGTATTTTTCAATAATATACTTGCATTTAAAATTTTTTTTCAAGGTTTAAAAAAGTTGACTTGTACTGTGGAAGACAAGAATTTAGTTTTTCTATACCACCCATCCTTGCTTGCCATAATACAGACAAACACCCCATCACACAGGCCTACTTAACCCGCTGTAGGATATATATCATGGTGTTTATTAGCTCAGTATCCAGTTGTTCTTTATTATGGCTGTGAAAATACTGCTCCTCATTGAGCCACTGTAATTATCTTTCATTTCTTGTACAGCTTGTTACTCTCCTCTGGAGATACTAGATTCTCCTTTTGTGTTGCTTTTTAAACGCTTGTCTCTACTCGAGCCCCAGGAGGGGAGTGGAGCTGGGTCCCTCCCACCTCTGTGTGAACGCCTCCCTCCTGCAGGCACACACCAGGCTAGCATCACCTCCATGCCCCCTTCCTGGTGACCCTATGTCCACCCATGTCCGTGTGTCTAGGCCTGTGGCAGGACTCCTGTCACAAGATACCTTCTTATTACCAAGCTCTTCCTCATGGCTCTGCTAGAAACTACCTGCACGGATGAGGTTGTAGGTTGAAAATTGTAGGCTGAAAATCCCTTTACTGTTTTCAAGCTGCTACTGATGCTCTTTTGTAAAATCCAATGCCATCTATCCTAATTCCTAAATTTCACAGTGCTATACCGTGATGTAGGTCTAGTTTTACTCACTTTTGTAGGCATTTTGAGTACCATGGTCTGGAAATGCATGTTTTACAATTCTTGAAATTTTTCTTTAATTATTTCTTTGAAAGTTTTCTTTCATCTTCCGGTCTATTTTCTTTTTATAGAACCATGTGAGTAAGAATTGGGTCTTTGGAGCTGGCTCTCACCTGTCCCAATTTTTCTCTACTCTTTTCCATTCTAGTTTTTTCATGCTTTCTGGAAGATTCCCTCAATGCTATCCTCTATTGACATTTTGTTTTGGCTATCACTTATAATTTCCAAGAATTTCTTTTCTCCTTTGAGATAGCTCTTTATTTAAAGCAGCCTGTTCTTGTTTCATTGATAAAGTATTATTTCAGTTATTGGGGGATTTTTGATATATTAGAAGTGTTTTGCTTCTGGAATTTCCAATTTCCTGTGATTAGTGTCTTCTGCTTGGACCTGTTAGAGGCTTTCCTGCAATGTGGGTATCACGAAGACAGCTGCTTATCATAGGGAACAGGAAAGGAGACATTCAGAGATGGTACTGAACATCTGGCCGTGGGCCTAGGTCCTCCGGGAGCCAGTAGGACGCCCTCCAGATAGGAAGGTGGGAAATAACAGAGACAGAGAGCTGAGAGAAGCAGGGTCTCGGGCTGATCTTCGCCGCTCAGGCAGCAAAGACGGAGCAAAGATGTCTCAGGACGTCTGGTGTTTATTCATACAAGTAAGGGGGGCTTGGACACCTGGTGGTAGCAGGTACCAAGCAGGCAGGACTGTAGAATGAGGACAGAAGCATATCTGTGCTGAAGAGAACACACGGTTAATTCAGAAGGAGGAATGTAGCTGGAGCTGGGTTGACCTTGGCTGGAAGTGAACTCAGCTGACCGGACCACTTCCAGTGCAAGACAGCCAAATTATGGAGGGGCAAGAGCCTTGTGCCCCTGCAGCCTGCTGACACTGCCCGGAGGCACCTGCTACAGCTTATGTTCAAGGGTGAGGAACTCAGAGTCAGCTGGAAGCTCCGCCTCTGGGGCTTGTGGATTGGTGAGCTCAGGGTCATATTTTCCCTTGGATTCCTTTGGTTTCTCCAGGAAAGAATTCCCAATTGCCTGCCGACAGCACCCTGGGAGCAGAGCAGGGAGGAGGTGGTGTCTTGTTGCTGACATGTAGACTTCCGCGTCACATTCTAATCCTTGTGTTTAGTGCAGTGGCTCACCCCTGCAGGACATGGTGCCAGCTCTTCCCGAGTGATTTCCTCAGGATAAACTTCCCATGTTGGGACAGTGTGGTGGGTGGGCAGCTGCTTGGCTTCGTGCAATTGTGCAGGAGACTTGGAAGCCAGTGTCTGGTTGCAACCAGCAGTTTTCAGTTCTCCCAGCCTTGTTTCTGTTGTACTCAGTCCCCCAGCTCCGGAGCCTCAGGGTCTTCCCTGGGGCAGATCAGCTTGCACCTCAGTGGCATCTGCCACACTCAGGTTGTAGACCTTCCTTCTCCTGTGTGAAGCAGCTTTCCACCATCTACAAACTGCTTTTCACTGTCTCAGTCTCTCTCCTGATCTGTTTGTCCTTGTAACTTTTACTTGTACCTCTTTCTTTCAAAATTTTTTATCATTACTTTAGTAGCGTTTCAGAAAAGAGCCCCCAGAATTTGTCTTTTTAAATTTTTATCTCTAAGTGAGATGGACTTACCCAGTGATACTCGCTTTGGGCTGATGTGGAAATCGTGGTGAACTTCCTAACACATGGACATGGAGTTTGGCAGTGTGTCACAGCGGGAGCCATTGGGCAGTCTGGGCGCCGAGCTCATCATGCAGCATTTAAGTTTGCATCTCTAGCACGGAGTCCCCCGCAGACCCGGCGTTTGGAAGCCGTGTCCCTGTACCGACACCTCCTCATCTGTGAATGATTGTACAGGCTTCTCCTCAGTTGTGTGCGTGGAAGGGAAATGAGTTTTCCATTCATTTCCCTTTGAAAGAACCCCCCTCCCTGGTATATTTTTACCATTTGCTGCAATGTTATCTTTCACTTGACCACTAGAATTCCATAAAGAGACTGAGATTTTGGGCTGTTTTTTAAAAATCTCTTTGCAGACGTTATCGTCCACTGACCAAGGCGCTGGGAAGCTCCTGGGTGGTGTCCTTGTGCCTTTGATGCTTGGTGCTTGGAGAAGCTCAGTCACCAGGCACCTGCTACCCAGCACCGCGCGCTTTCAACACAGGTTCATTCTTTAGTTGGGTCACAGGTTACTCCAGGTTTGGGGCCTTTAGGCCTGCTCCCAGATCATTGAAATGAAGTCTTTTTGTCATGCATGGTTCTGCTGCCTCAGCCTGATAATATCAGCAGGAATACTGGACAATCTTCAAGATTCCAAAGCAGCTTCAAAAGCACCTGTCTCTTGGGGGTCAAGCCTGCAGCACACCTTGTCAGGGTCATCTCTGTCTTGCGCAGCAGAAACAGCTGTTGCAGGGATGGTTTATTTGGTTGTGCTGAGACGAAGGCCGGCTTAGACCTGACCTACTTTGTGGGGTCAGAGATGCTTCATATCTAAGCATCGAGGATGATCAATGAGGAGTTGGACTTCCTCCACCCAGAGCAGGCAGAGGCAGGCAGGGTGGAACCCGGGACTTTTCGCTGCACATCTCTTCTACTTTTCAGTAGAAAGCAGCTGCACCCAGGCCATAAAGGCAGTGGGAAGTGGAGGGGTAGGAAGACAGAGACACTGATACAGCCAGGAAGGCTCAGCAAGGCCAAAGGGCCCTGCTGGGCTCCAGGGCAGGAGCGGGAATGTGTGAGGGAGAAAGCTTTGTGGCAGGTGCAGTGGACAAGGGGCCAGGACTCTGGTGGAGGGAGGGTGCACCTGGCACTGTTGCCATGTGTGCCTGGGTGAGGGAAGGGTCCTGTGGCTCAGGGGGACCTGGAAGGTGCTGGAAGCTGTGTGGCACAGGACCTGGAAGTCTGGCAAATTGCTTGGACTCCATGCTAGGGCCCAGGGGAGCATTGAAGGTGGAGAAGTAAGGACAGCACTGTGTAGGACAGCTGAAGCAGACATGGCTTCAGGCTGCATGTGCTTCACAGCTGCCAGTGAGTTGCTGGGGTCCGAGTGGTGGCAGGATGGGCCGGTTGAGGAAACCAGGGACCCCAGGGCTGGGGGCTGGGAGGGGATCATCATGCAAACGCCAGAAGAGCTGGGGAAAGCAGCCGAGTTCCTAGGCGGCATCTCTTACGTGTTTCACCATCGTGTCACTGACCAAGCTTCCTTTTGTTCCCATCCCCTGACAGGGACGGCGCTGTCTCAGTGGCCCAAGCTGTGAGACCTCCGAAGGTGTGTGGGACAGGAGCAGGCCCGAGACCTGAGCCTTCCCTGACTCCGGAAGATGAGCCCCTCCTTGGCCAATCAGGCCTGGCACCTCCTCAGGCTGCAGCAGAGATGGGATTGGAATTAAAGACGGGTGAAGGTGCTGGGGAGAGCAGAGCTGGGCAGAGCAACAGCTGGAGATGTGGTGTGGGAGGATGGGCTCTCCTGTGCATGGCTGTGTGCAGAGCCTCCTGGCCGTGGGGCGGCTGTGGAGTAACAAATAAATAAATGGCAGAGTCTCAGAGGCCGTGCTGCACTCTTGACAGCGACAGCTGAGCCAAGCAGTGTCCTGGGGTGATGACACAGCAGGCAGAAGATCCCTTCCCAGGTGCTGTCACCACGCGTCCGCTTGTGCCAGCCACCCGCGGGGCCCCTGGGGAGGCATCTGATCACCTTCTGTCCTACAGACACAGGCGACAGGAGTGGGGATCGCCTCTGTCTAGCAGTTGCGAGTGTGATAGAAAAATACAGTTAATATTTAAATTTAAAACTTTTTATTGCAGTAAAAGATGCGTCACCGTTATTCCCTGTCACCCCCGCACATACTTTGAACACAATCATCCCATCAATCTCGCCGCTTTCTGAAGCACTTCTGGAAGTCTCGTTCACATTTGTAGGTGCATTGTGCTAGCTGCCTCAGTGTCCTGAATCAATTCAAAACGTTTGCCTTTTGTGGTCCTTTCGACTCTGGATAAGAGCCACAAGTTTCATGGCACAGCACTGGTGAATAAGGTGGATGACAGGATGAGTTTGTCCAAAGCAGGGGAAGGATTCGAGGAAGATTAATGGCAATGTGACTTTTACTGTCACACATTTTAAAAAAATTATTCACTGTATAGTTTGACCTTACCTTGGGCAAATGCCAAGGTCAGAGCTGTCTTGCACGTGATTCCCAGGGCCTCGGTGGCACCAGGTGCAGCCCTAGGGGCACCAAGGGGGCCTTTCCAGCAGCCCACGCTGCTCTTCTTTTTTATTTTTTTTTTGAGGCAGGGTCTTGCTGCATACTTTAGGCTGTCCTTGAACTCACTGTGTAGCCCAGGCTGGCCTTGCACTTGCAGCGATCCTCCTGCCTCAGCCTCCCAAGTGCTGGGATTACAAGTGTGCACCATCACGCCCAGCCCATGTTGCTTTTCTTGTAGCTGACAGCTATCACTTCCGGCCTGTCCTCAGTGCAGGGAGAGGAGAGGTGCTCCAGGAAGCCCCTCATCAGTGGGTCCTGTTCTCCAGTACCTCTGGGGGATACTGCACTCATCCAGGTGTTGCTTCCTGTTGGTGACAGAGCACATCCAGAGCACATCCAGAGCACGCCCAGAGCACGCCAGATCCTCCCAGTTATGTTCAGCACTGGGTCCACTCCCACTGCAGGGCCCATGTTCTCAGCCACATGACCCCTCGAGGCCGGCAGAGCCTGTGCAGAGCTCAGCTCATGAGTGCAGGGAGTGTTAGCGTGGGGGATGAACAGCTGGGGAGTGGGCTGTGGTCGGGCAGGCAGGTCACTCCTGCGCATAACCGAGGCCTGCACACTCAATGACAGGAAAGCTGGCTCAGACACCCGTAACACACGCACACACTCACACACACTCACACCCCCTTTTCTCCACCGGACTTCTCTTCTACTAAATAAACGGAATAACTGATAGCTTCCCAGCAGGGTCTATTACTCAAGCTGTGGCTATCATTTGTTATTGGTTCATTCTATAGGTGTTCATTGAGTGCCTATTATGTCATGGGCCTTTTTCTGGATGCCAGAGATTCACTAATGAATAAAAACAACACAGAAGGTTAGCTTGTGGGGGCCGGTTAAGTAATGCAATAGAGGAAAATCTAGAAAAGGGAGCTAGGGAATACAGCAGGCGTGTGTGTGTGTGTGTGTGTGTGTGTGTGTGTGTGTGTGTGTGTGTGTGGCGGGGTGGGGATCAGCTTCTAACAGCAGAGACAGGAAAGCCTGACCTGAAAAGGCAGTGTTTGAATAAAGAACTGGAGGCCACAGAGTGAGCTGTGTAGATACTGGGAACAAGTCCACTCAGAGGGAGAATCTTGTGCAAGGATCCTGGGGCAGGCACACCCGTGTCATGTTCTGGGACAGTGAGGAGGCCATGTGGCTGGAGGGCAGCTGGGAGAGCAGCAGGAGAAGAGGACAGAGCTGGGAGTGGAGGCTGAGGCAGGTCAGCTGGAGTCTGACTTTGCTTGTGCCCTGAGTTGGATGGGAAGCATTTCTGCAGGATTTTGAGCCGAGAAGTGATAGGATTGGATTTAAGTGGTAACAGAATCACCTGTGAGGGGCTGTTTGAACAACACAGCTGATGGTGGTTTGCCCCAGGCTGCCACAGTGAAGGTGAGAGAAGGGGACAGATTTTGTTGCTTTTAAAGAGGGCACAGTGGGAGGAATTGGGCATGGGCGTGAGAGAGACTGGAGGCATCGGGGACCCCAGGGCTGTGGCTTTGAGTGACGGGCAGAAGTAATAAAGGCAGCTGCGTGGCAACGGACCCTGGAGGCTAAGACTGGGGAGAGGGCAGCCGCTGCCCTGCCCATCTGCCTCCCTGACCCCACGCCTAGGACAGATGCACCCATGACTCATTCTGCACTCATGCACCCCGCCTCACCCACTGCACCTGAGCACAGCAAGGCTGCTCCTCCCAGGGTGGAGCACCCTCGGCAGAGTAGCCAGGCCGCCACCATCTCCGGGGCCACAGGGCCGGAGCGGAGGTCACCGGGACTCTTGCTCAGCCCACTCCCGGAAGCACTGGGTACGAGACTGGCGGGCCTTCAGCTGGAAGCGAGGGCAGAGTGTCTTCCCCAGCAAGGGCGGCAGGAGACCTTAGCAGCTGTTACTGTCAGCTTCTGGATTCTTCCAGGATTCCAGGCAGGTAGGCAGGATGGTAGATTACCTGTGACGGGGCTTTTATGATGACTGAGTTAACAGCAGTAAGCCAGTGAAGGGCCACCCCATCCAGGGAAATACTGTCTTTCACAAAACTCATCCCTGGTGTCAAAATGGCTGCGGACCAGCGGTGGGTGGAGCGTTCCCCAGACGGCAGCCTGCTGGTTGACCTGCACAGCGCCCCTAACAGTCGGAGGACAGCAAGCCCAGGAGTCGTAGTGGGAGGTGGTGGCTGGAAGGTCCTGCCTGGGTAGGGGACTAGCACTGCTGGTGTTCCAGATGCAGACCTGCCGCAGATCCGGGGCCTCCTGTGAGAGACAGGAGCGATCGTCTCCGTGGCTTCCCTGGGCCGGGTGTGAAGGACAAAAGCAAACCGCCTTCTCTAGCAATTGCACGCATTGCCTGGGTGATGCATGTGAGAATCTTCTAGACACACCGTCAGCGTGGTCCGGTCCTGTCCTGTCCTGTCCTGCCCTGCCCTGCCCTGCAAGTCCCTCTATACCAACCAGCTCCACCGATCAGAGTCCCTCTCGATTTCTGACAACTCGCCACTAGAGGGAGCTGTCACACGTTAACTCTCCAAGAACTGCCCTTGGCCTAGTCCAGGGCCTCCTGTCAGGAAGGACTGAGCAGATATCTGCGGGCGGCCTTCGGCACTGTCCCGCCTCCGGGGTGTGGGGCTCTTTCCCCGCCCTAGAGGCGCGATGCTGTCCAGTGACAAATGGGCTGTTCCAGGGTCTCATGCAGCAGGAAACAACTCTTTGGAGACCTGTGCAGTCGAAAAGGCCCTGGTCCTCTGGCTGGTGAAAGCAGGTGGCCTTGCCTGATGGTGTCCCCAGTCTCCTGAAAAGGGCAGGACGTTGCCCTAGAAACCCACCTGACAGCCCAGGGACTTTGGCCCAGCTTGTTGCTGTGGAGGGAATGGTCCGTGGGGACCAGGGGATGACACAGCCAAGGGATCAGCTGTCTTGTGGAGAAATGATTTTCCAGTCCAGATACCACTTAGTCACAGAGCTTCTCTGGACCTCCAGCAGGCTGAGATCAGCCTGGGTTATTTGGAGCTCCTACCTGGTAATAGGCCAGGAGCCAGGGGGGCCCAGACAAAGGTGGTCTTGTTTGTACCTTTCTCCATCCAGTGCAAGTCTTTGATGTTGAGCCTCAGTTTCCCCTCTGTCAAGTAGGGAGTTGAATCAAGTGATGTCTAAGATCCTTTGTGTGGTAGAGTACATTCAGTTTGCACTCCAGCGTTGGGGCTCATTGGTCACACCTTCCTGTGTTTCGGTTTGGAACACATTAAATGGTACCCCTGCCTCATATAAGCATCTTTAAAAAATAAAATTAGACTGAAGCTGGGTGTGGTGGTGCACACCTGTAATCCCAGCACTCTGGGAGGCTAAGGCAGGAGAATCACAAATTCAAGGCAGCTGGGTGACTCAGTGACTTGTGAGACCCTGTGAAAAAGGACTGAGGCGGCAGCTCAGAGTGATGGCCTTGTGTTTAGTTCCCAGTAGCACAAAATGAGTGAATGAACTTGGATCGAACCAGTCAGCTCGACCAGATGACCCGAGCCCTTCTGTGCTTAGCAGTGTTAAAAGCAGTGGATACATCTTCAGAGCAGTGGGGCCAACATTGATTCCTCCGCCGTCCACGGCCCGGTGCTCGCTGTCTGTGGCCTTTTCTGGGGCAGTGTACTCCAGATGGGCTTGGTGGTCATGGCGCTCACTGCCACGAGGTCCTCTCTACTGCTGTTTTATTTTTTCCCTTCCAAGCTGGGTTTCTCTGAGAAAGAAGATGAATGACCTTGGGAAGAGCAGGAGGATGTACAGCCCTGTCAGTGAGAAGGTGCTCTTTAGTCAGAGCAGTATTAGTTATTGTTGTTGTTGTTGGAATAAGGAAGAAAAACCTGTCAGTGTCTTCTGGTCAGGTTTCCAGCCATCCGGCCAGGTTCCTGGAGATCCATAGAAACGAGACCCCTGGGACGCTTGATGTGGACCAGGCCTACCCATTCTTCACCACGGATCAGAGTCATCCAGAGAAGCTGCCGAGAGGTGGGTCCCTGGCTCCAGCCCCAGGCCTTCCTGACGGGCCAGGTATGAGAAGGGGCAAGGAGTGTGTCAGGGCACGACCACGCCACGCTGCAGAGTCGGGCCCTGTGCCACCAGCCTGGGAGGCAGCGAGGCCCCGGGCCGCCCTTTAGGCCCAGAACAGTGACCTCTGCAGTAGAGGGGCTCTTCTGAGCTCATTCGGCCGCAGTCAGTGCCATGGATGCAAGTGTACCACGTCTCCAAGGAAACAGGAGAGTGTGGCTGTAGCTAAACTGGCCGTACCAGAGCGGCCCCGGCGTTGAGAGCCTCTGGCCACTAGGGGGAGCCAGGGCTACTTCGCTGCAAACCCGCGGCAGAGAGAGGAAAAGTACTGAGGTCGGCGGCCTGCGAGGAGCGCTGCAGCGGGCGGCCGCGCCTCTGCAGTCTGGCAGCCCAGATGCACAGACCACGGGCTGGTGGTCCACGCGTCTCCCGGCCCCGGTTCCCCTCAGCTGCGCCGCACCAGTCCCTTATGCAAGGCACAGTGAGAGGCAGCGCAGAAGGGCGGGCAGAGGCGGCCCGGGCCGCGGACCCAGGAGTCGCGCTGTCCGGTGCGGTGGGGAAGCCCCGGGGTTCAGGGGTTGCAGACCCAGCGGGCGACCCCAGGCCAAGACTGCAGTGCCGGGCAGTGTATGCCCCGGCAGGCCGGGGTGGGCGTGCTGAGCGGCCCAGTCCTCCCCAAATTACTGGGAAGGGAATGGGGTCCCAGTCACCGAGAGCCTCTCTTCCTTCCCGGGCAGGAGGCCTTCCAGGGGCTGGGGCAGCGAGAAGGAGTCGGTGAGCCGTGGCCCCGCGAGCCCTAGTTGGCCTGACGCCCATCCCCGCATGTGCGTGCACGCGTGCGTGTCTCGGTGTCCTCGTGGGTGCATCGCGGCCTTCCCGCGGGAGCTGCCCTCCCCTGACCCGCTGGGAGGCTGTGGGCCCTAGGGCCAGGGCAGCAGGCGCGGTGCAGGCAGAGCCCAGGACCACCCAAGGGCCGGC